GGGAGGATGCGCCTGTGCGCAGCCCCGCGTACAGCGTGAGCACCATCGAGCCGCGGGAGGAGCTGCTCTCCCCGGTGCAAGACGCCGATCGCTTTTACAGGGGCATTTTGGAGCCCGACAAACACTCCTCCTCCTCCACGCTGGGCACACCCGGCCCCACCCTCCCCGACTACCCCAAGCTCCCCGCCGCCTACACCTACTCCCCCAACTATGACCTTAGGCGCGCCCACCAGTACTTGCACCCGGGGCCGGGGGACGGCAGGCTCCGGGAGACGGTGCTCTACAGCCCCCCGAGTACTGTCTATGTAGAGCCCAACAGGAACGAGTACCTGGAGCTAAAAGCAAAACTAAACGCAGAGCCGGACTACCTCGAAGTGCTGGAAAAACAGACCACATTCAGCCAGTTCTGAGAAACAGCCCCCTTCCCCCCCGCCCCGTTTTTTTTTTTATTTGTATTTAACAACCACACGCAAAACAAAGAAACGTAAATGCTGACCTCCCCCCCACCTTCCCCTCCTCCTTTGTTCCCCCTTTAATTCATTTTATTGTAGGGTGAAGTGCCTTGGCACAGGATTTTTCAGCTTCGGGGAATGATTCTAAAAGGGTGTGCTGTTTATTTTATTTTATTTTCAGGGTTTTTTTGGTTTTACTTTCCTATTTTTTTTTTCTTCTTTCACTGCCTTTGGTAATAGGAAACCACCTAGTGTGTACATTGGGCACAACACTGGCATCATGCGTGTGTCCATACGTGCTTGGGGAAGGTGGCAGGAGGGTCTTGTCAGGTCATATTCAGGATACAAGTACAAAAGTCATGGTCACTTTTTTTTTTTTTTTTTTTTTTTTGGTACAGACATTGTTTAATTTTGTTTTCTTTTTGTCTGAAGAGTACAGCGCACATTTTCCCCTTTTAGCCATGGGTGAGTCTAAATGGCTTTTATGGAGAGATTAGCACACCCCGACTTTAATACAAGGTTTCCTTTTTTTAAGGATGTGTTTGTATGCTTTCTGGACTTTTGAATTAAAAAATATATTATGATCTTTAAAAGGATCACTGTAGATGTGGACAAATCATTAAAGAGTGCAGAGATATATGATCCATAACTGGTTAGTGAAAATAACTTATTGATGAAATATAAAAAAATATTTTATTGTAGCACCTATTTTTATATGCACATTAGCATTTCTCTTTCCTTCACTATTTTAGGGCCTAATCCTGCAAATTTTTACTCGGTTGAGTATCTCTACTTGTGAAAGAAGTCCCAACTTAGGCCTTCATCCTGCAGGCACTTAAGCACACGAACAACTTTACCAATGTGTGTAGTCCCATAGACTCACTCACTCAGCAAACTTAGTCAAATGCCCAAAAGATTAGGGTAAAGGATGCAGAACTACTCTTACATGTAAAACTACTGGGATGTTTAAGTGTTTTTTTCTTTTTCCAGGATGGAGTCCAAAGTTTGCAGATTGCTTTAAAGTGTTGCACTACATTGAGAGCTTTTTTCCCAAAGCTGATGTAGTATCAGGAGGACCTTTTAAATCACTACAGATAATGCCAGTTATGACCAAATCTTAACAGACAATCTAAGACATATAATCTGATCACAACAGAAAGAAATCCTGTTCTTCTATTTAAAAATGTACCTTTTAGCAACCTCCTGCCCAGGCATTCAGTTGGGCAAACTAGTGAGGGACATGTAGAAGGCATTCATTTTAGCAGAAAAAAAAAGTGTTTCATTTTTGATTTGTCGGTTTTCTTTTTTTTTCTTTTTTTTTAAATTTTTCATTAGTTAACCAAAATATTTTACAACTGTTGTAGCCAGTTTCTGATTGTTTAGTCAAGTACAATTGCACTTGTACAGATCCATGTGTTTACTGGCATCCTGAAATACCAAATGATGGACTGTACACATCTATATACAATGTCTTTACCCCTTTGGGCAGCAGGCAATGGCAAGAATATTCATAAACACAGCATCACTGTAAGATGGGACGACTGGTGTCTCATATGTATCCCAGCACATGTGATTTTTTAATAGTTTCTGAATAAACACTTGATAAATATTTCAAATGTAAGAACATGAAGTAATGAGTATCTGAAATTTAAAATTTCTTGCCAAAATCATCTGTTTGTACATTGGATTCTCTTTACTAGCAATTATGGCTCATCAGAAAGTTCTAACATTTTTAGGCAAAACATAATGTGTTGTCTATTTTCGAAACACAACATACGGTAATTACCAGCCTATATAACGTGGATCAGAGAGTGACACACAGATATGTGTTTCACCAACATATTGGATATGATAGTTTTATATTTGCATTTTCTTTCCTTGCTGAAGTGTTCTTTAATATATGGAACAGGGTAAGTGATATTTCCCAGGCATTTTTGTCTTTCTTCATTAGGTTATTAGGTTTGGTATTGTTTGCAGAGTTGCTCACTAGTATATCTTTTATTGCAAAAGGGTTCTGTTCTGTTCTGCTTTTCCTATCCATGTACAATCTGTCACTTTCTACAAAAACAAAGCTATATAACTGGTTCTTTGGAATTCAAGATAAATGTTTTGTCGGCATGTGTTCTTCCCTCTATGCCACCCACACTGAGCAAAAGGAAAAAAAAAAAAAGAAAAAGCATGACTGTATTTAGCTTGGACAGTTTAGTAAGCGAAGAGTTATTTCAGTTTGAAATGCAGATATGAGGAGTGTTCTTTTGTCACAAGAGACACAACACATGGCTATTCTGTGCACTGCTCTCAGTCTCCTGCAGACTTCTCACTGACACTAGTGAGAGATGTGAGTATTGCTGCCTGAGGTGCAGTTCTGGAGCCCTAATTTAGAATTACATCTTTTATAATGATTGCTGAAACCAGTGGCCTGGTTCTCCTTCCATTTAAACTCAGTAGAAGCACACTGTTGCTAAATGGGTATAAGAAAGAAAATTTCAACCTCACTGGCTTCGTCATTCACTAAGAGAAAGGCTAACTCAGTAAGAATTGAATGAGAAGGTCCTGCAAACAGTATGTGTCCGTTCACGTGTATATTTTTTTTCTCTGTGATTCTAAACTCATAAACAGGAGTTTACTTAGGTGTCAATACAAATGTAGGATTGGGTCCTTAATGTGAAAGGTACATTTTACATGGCATTCTGCCACAAAGAGGCAGCATCCACAAATGAGTAAATGAGCAGGAATTGCTTGGATTTGTAAGAAATAGCTGATAGAAATGCCTCAGCAGTCTGTTTATGCTTACATTCTGGTGCTGCAATTTCTGAGGTTGGTAGTACTGCTGCTTCCATGTTTTCTACAGACATTTAATAACTGGTAATGAAGATTTTTTCTATGGGTCTATACTAAAATCAGAAAAAATAATTTAAATCTTTTCAGTTTCTCATCTTCAGTAGAAAAAAAAAAGTCATTTCTATTACTGGAGAAAAAAAATAAATGCAATCAATTACCTTCAGAAAGTGCGTTCTTGAAGATAAATCCTTAAAAAAGGATACAGAGTGCAAAATAATATTCTTCAGTCCATAATTATCCTGAAACACACCTGAAAGAGCTATTTGTGAATGAGGACCTCAATGGAGGTAGGATTTCCCACTCAGTGGCTACAATCATATATCATCTGTTGAAAATTAAGAAAAAGTAGATGGGAATGTGACTTGACAAAGGGAGATGTGCTTCTGATTTGAAAACACAGGATAATTTGTTTAAAGAAAAAAACATTTGTATAAGAATATGACCTTTGTTTTTTTAGCAAGATAAGTGAATCTTTCTGCGTTATGATCTGCTGAGTTAGTGCTGACCAAAGGGGTAAAAGTGTAAGAAGAAGAAAAAAAATCCCTATTTTAAGAATTCTGAATATGATTTTAACTAGTTTTAGTTGATTATCAGATTGGTTTAGGTTGGTTATTAAAGTGAAATTTTTTTTTAGTCTTTTGACAAATAATATTGAGCTTACTGAATCACTCATAAGGCCTCAGCTTTTATTTCAAATGGCATGAAATTCTGTGATAAAAGAGGAAAAAAGGTGGAAAAGAATCCTAATTTCTCAATATAATTACTAGAATCAAACCATGGATTGTGATAACATGGAACATTTATTCTTATGAAGTAAAAGAAATATTCTTTGTACTTTCTTTTGTTTGTCCATATTGTGCCAATTTAATGTCCTAAATACTAATGGTGAGATAAGGGGTGAAATACCTTTCTCTTTCTCTCTCCCTCCCCCTCTTTTTTTAGTTCATTCTTCCCCTTCCCTTCCCTTCCCTTCCCTTCCCTTCCCTTCCCTTCCCAAGAGGAGGAATTTCTAGACATTCTTACACACTACTTGAAACACCAGATCTTATGTCAGCCCCACCATAAATTAGAAGTCTGACATAAATGCAGCTTCCACTTTTATACTTCTAGGGCCCAAATTCTCACACCTTTTTTATTTATTTACCTCTCATTATTTTAATGGTCACTTGTAAAAATATGTTCAGCTGATTCCATATACTGCAGTATATAATTTGAATGCTTTCCTTTGTTTACATTTTTTTATTTATTTTAGGAAAATGTATTAGGTGTGGTGTTACCTTTTCTGATATCACATAATAATTAAATTCTTTAAGTAATATAACAAAATTCATGGTAAAATATAATAAAAAAGACCCTCTGTCCCATGGAAAACAGAATTTAGAAAGTATATCTGAAAAGGCAGGAATAGCTAATCATGGTTGCTGGTAAAATAAGAAGTTAACATCCTGGTTCTCTGTGTTGTTTAGACATTTATTTAGCTGGAGCTAAAATGTCTGACCAGCATGTTGTGTGTTTCTTACAGAAACTTAATAGTCTGCTTAATACATATGGTTCCTTCTCAGGGGGCGAGTCCATTAAGGCACTACATCCTGAAGGACAGGGTAAACAAGAGCTCCTTCATTTTTTAGAGGGCAGGTTCTTTATGTCGCTCAGTGTCTCCAGGGAGCCTGAATAGCCTTTCATTTGGTTAAAGACTGGCATACTGAAATGCAGCGTCTCCAAACCAGCCTCTAGAGAAGGGGGCCAAAATCTTTGTCTTATGACTGAGAACATTATTGGCACTACTGACATTAAACAAGAAAAATGGGGAGAGAAGAGAGAGTGAATGGCAGACACAATTCCATAGCTGTCAGCCTTCAAATGGTCTTCACATCTGTATTGATTATTTGATTGTAGGGAATTTTACCTCCTTTCTGCAGCATCCATTTACTCTGGAAAATGTAGAACCTCAAGCTAAGGAGTGACAAGAGGATGGAGGAGTAGAGTGAGAAGGTTCTGTGGGATGAGTGGGCGGCAGATAGCACTCTGAATGGGGTGGCCATACTAATTGTTCATTTACATTGCTTCCCGACCCTTCTAAGAAACTTGGCATTGTTTTCTGATGAAATGAAAGTACA